AAAGCAACCTTGGAGCAAGGCTCAATAAGAGATGTTGGTGAAGTATCGAAACTCGAAAGTCTATGACTACCAAACATCACTCGAACTTTAGCCAACGCCTGCAGCAGCAGTACCAGCAGCAGCACCAGCGGCAAAGCAAGACTTCCAAAAACCAGCTACACAACAAAAGGCTGCAGCTTCTGATCCAAACTATCAGACCTTGACCGGACTTAGTAATGATATCTTCACCAAGCCAACAGTAAGTCATTACCAAAATTGCGTTGGTTATGTTATATTGTTATTAGATTATTTCTTACATCAAGTAAGTTTCTAAAACTGTCACAACAATTATCACAGTGTTCCACAAACGAAAAAGTGCGCATTGAGATCATTGAGTTATTCATTTTATGTTTAGAATGTTGTCTCAATTCGTTTCGCACTTACAATTTAGTAAGAATTGGGGTACTTGGAACATTCAACGTGTAAAATGACATGTCTTGAAGCGCAAAAGCATCCCGAAATGAATAGAAAAAGATGTATGGGGTAGTGTAAAGAGACTACTCTTGCTTATAAGTTTGAGAATAGCAGCACATTCTACCACATGTAACTTCCCTAAAAAACTAAAATTGTATGTAAAATTGATTGCAATGGCTTTCTTCTCTATACAATGCTACTTCCACATCTGGCTATCTGAAATAGACACTACCTGCAAACATAAATTTTCAGTCAACGCCAGCAGCATCAGCGCCAGCGGCACCAGCGCCAGCAGCAAAGCAAGACTTCCAGAAACCGGCTACAGAACAAAAAGCTGCAGCTTCTGATCCAAACTATCAGACCTTGACCGGACTTAGTAATGATATCTTCACCAAGCCAACAGTAAGTCATTACCGAAATTGAGTTGGTAAATTATGTCATATTGTTATTAGATTGTTTCTTACATCAAGTAAGTTTCAAAAATTGTTAAAACAATTATCACAGTGTTCCACAAACGAGAAAGTGCGCATTGAGATTATTGAGTTATTTATTTTATGTTTAGAATGTTGCCTCAATTCGTTTCTCACTTACAATTTGGTAAGAATTGGAGGTACTTGAGACATTCAACGTGTAAAATGACTTGTCTTGAAGCTCAAAAGCATCCCGAAATGAATAGAAAAAGATGTGTGGGGCAGTGTAATAAAAAGAGACTACTCTTGCTTATAAGTTTGAGAATAGCAGCATATTCTACCACATGAG